GAAAAATTGAAATTATTAAAATAACGGGTTGTGAGATCCAAGTTGATCACCTAGGGGTAGCTGAATGGCACATCTCTCACAAGCAGAACAATGAAGACAATTTTGATTGCTGGTGACCTCAAGCAACTTGGGCAGGCTTAGATGGAGGGTGCAGCCCACATCGCATAGAACTCTTGGGCCAGGATAAGAGACGGAGAGAGCGGCCAGCTTTGAAGCCTGAAGACCCCGTCCTCACCAAGTGCCAGGCTTACATCAGTTTTGCAGTTCTGCCTTGTATTTGTGAAAGAGGGTGAGTGCAGCTGACATGGTATGCAATGGTTCCCCTGTCCCCAGCTGTGTGAGTTTTTAGTCCTATGTAGTAGGTAGTCTGGATAGGGCATAGTGGTATGCTACTAGAGCCCACATGGAGCTGGGAACCCACCTCAGGTTAGAATAGCTATGACTAATCAATCCCTGAGACTGTATTCTCCACTGGTAGCACTTGGCAGCCAGACTTCAGACTGGGAAAGTTCCCCTGTCAGCTTCACTCATCCAATACTTGCTGGCAGCAGTTGGTGGCCAGCCATCAGACTGGGAAAGATCACCTGCCAGCTTCACTAACCTGGTACCCACAGGCAGTGCTTGGTGGCTAGTCCCCAGATCAAGAAAGATTGCCTGCAGACTCACTCACCTGGAGGGAAGGTCCTACCAAGGCAGGGATTGTGCTGCTTTTAAGTTCTGAGTGCTGTCTTTGGTGAAGGAAAAGGAGTTGAAAGGGGCACTGGGAGGCCCTGTCTCCCAGTGGTAGTGCTTTGGGTTGCAGAGGACAGGAGGCCCATCCCACTTCTTGATCCCCACAAAGAGCTCACAACTGGAGGTTGGAAAGCAGTCTGACTGGCCTGGCTTCAGGAAAACCTTTGGAGTGGAAAGTCACTTTTAGTTCTAAGCACTGCCTAGCAGGAGAGGTGGAGCTGAAGTTGCAGTCCCTCTCTCTCTATGTGAACTCTTTTGAATAGCAGAAAAGGCTCTAAGGAAGCTAGACCATATCTAAATACAAAACAAAAAATAATAATAAAAAAGAAGAGCTGGTCCTCACAGATGAGGAAGAACCAGCAAAACAATGCTGGCAATCCCTAAAGCCTTCAAATGGCATCACCCACAAAACCATCCCCCATATCCCAATCAATGGAACCCATCAGAAAGATGTGTTCCTAATGAAAGATGCAGAATTCAGACAACATATGGCAAAAATGGCTAAGGAAAACCCCAAGAATATGGAAGCAAAGATCACCCAGGCAACAAAAGTAGTGCAGGAAATCCAAGTTTAGCTAGCCAATATAAGAAAGGTCCAATCTGAAATCCTGGAAATGAAGAAATCCTCTCTGTAATTTTAAAGTACAATGACAGGCTTAGGTAACATAATTGACCAGGTGTAGAAAAGAATCTCAGAGCTTGAAGTTCACAATATTGATCTACCCAGTGTATGAAATACAAGGAGAAAGTGCTCAAAAATAATGAACAAAGTCTACAAGAGGAAGGGGATTATGTACAGAGATCAAATCTATGGTTGATTGGCAACTTTGAGAGAGGAGGGAAAACTGAGAACACACTGGAATAAACCTTTCAAGAGGTCATTCAAGAAAATTTTCCCTATCTCTCAAGAAAGGCAACCATCTAAATGCAAGAGACCCAGAGAATATCTGCAAAATATGACATGAGGAGGCCATCCTCAAGACACATAATAATCTGTCTCCACAAGGTAAGCATGGAAGAAAAAATCCTAAAGGCAGCTAGAAAGAAGGGATAGACCAGGGAAGACCCATTAGAATTGCAGCAGTCTTCTCAGCAGAAACGCTACAAAGCAGAAGGGACTGAGGCTCCATCTTTAATTTTCTTAAAGATAAGCAATTCTAGCAAAGAATTTCTTACCCCGCCAAGCTAAGCTTCATTAATGAAGGAGAATTAAAACCTTAGTCAGATTTCCAATCCCTAAGATAATATGCATCCTGCAGACCAGCCTTTCAGGAGATGCTTAAGAAAGTTCTAAGCACAGAAATGGACGAACAATTACACTTATCACAAAAGCACAGGCAAGCATAGAGTTAGCAGACTATAAAGATCAGCTACAAAACAAAGCAAAACAAAACAAAAAGCAGCAAAGTAATCTTTGAAGAGCATTATGACAAGAATAAGTCATCATATATCAATAATTAACTTGAATGTGAATGATAGAATGTGCCACTAAAAAGGTATAAAGTAGAAAAATAGATAAGAAATCATGATCCAACATTCAGCTGGCTCCAGAAAATCCATCTCACTCTAAAGGACACCCACAGTCTCAGAGTAAGGGACTGGAGAAAGATTTTTCAGGCAACTGGAAAACAAAAAAGAGTAGGGGGAGCTATTTTTCTATCAGGTAAAACAGACTTTAAACCAATCAAAGTCAGAAAGGACAGTAAAGGACATGACATAATGATAAAACACTCAATAAACCAGCAAGAAATCTCCATCTTAAACAAATATGCATCCAACACATGAACACCCAGATTTCTAAACAGTTGCTTTGTAAACTAAGAGAATGCATAGATAGCCATACAATTATAGTCAGAGACTTGTTTACCCTACCAACAACTTCAGAGGGTTCATCAAGGCAAACAAACAAAACACCAGCAAGGAAATCTGGAGCCTTAACTTGACACTGGACAAATTGTATCTAATTAGATATCTACAGAACACTTCACCCAACAACCACTGGGTATACATTCTACTCATCAGCACATGGAGCGTACTTCAAGACCGATCACATTCTCAGTCTTAAATCAAGCATGAACAAATTTCAGAAGGTTGAAATAACACTAAGCACCAAGCATGTTCTCAGATCACAGTGGAATAAAAATAAAGATCATCACCAACAGGAACCCCCCCAAATGCAAGAATGCATGGAGATTAAACAACACACTTCTGAATGACTTTTGGGTCAGCACAAAAATCAAGACAGAAATAAAATGATTACTGGAAACAAATGAAAACAAAGATACAACATATCAAATCCTCTGGGATACCATGAAATCAATGCTGAGAGGAAAGTATATAACATTATATGCACTGTATGCAAGTAAACTAGAAAATCTAGAGAAAACAGTGGAATTAAAGGCATCACACAACCTCCCAAGATTGAAGCAGGAAGAGACTGAAACCCTAAACAAACCAATAACATTCTAAGAAATTAACTCAGTCATAAGAAATCTCTCTGCCAAAAAAAGTCCTGAATGAGATGGTTTCCCAATTGAATTCCACAAGACATTCAAGGAAGAGCTGATACCAATCCTATTGAAAGTATTTCAGGCAATCGAGAAAGAAGGAGTTCTCTTTAGCCCATTCTGTGAAGCTAATATCATCCCAATACCCAATATTGACAAAGACTCGACAAGAAAAAAAAAAATCACAGGCCAATTTCCCTGATGAACATAGATGCAAAAATTTTTAACAAGATTCTCGCAAATCACATCCAATAGCACATTTCAAGGATCATCCATCATGACCAGGTGGACTTCATTTCTGGGATGCAAAGTTGGTTCAACATTCATAAATCAATAAACATAAGCAGATGCAAAACCAAGAATCACATTATTAACTCACTAGACACAGAAAAAGTATTTGATAAAATCTAACATCGCTTCTTGGCAAAAATCCTTGAACACCTAGGCATCAAAGGGACAGTCCTCAAAATAATAAGAACCATCTGTGACAAATCTTCAGTCAACATTATACTTAATGGGTAGAAGCTGGAGGCATTTCCCCTAAGAACTAGAATAAGGCAAGGATGTCCACTCTCACTCCTCCTTTTCAACATAGTACTAGAAGTCTTAGCCAGAGCAATCAGGTAGAAGACATAAATTAGGGGTATCCAAATAGGAAAAGAAGCAGCTAAGTTATCCCTCTTTGTGGATGATATGATTCTATATCTGGAAAACCTTAGAGGGTCTGATGAAAGGCAGATTATTAACACTAACATCATGCTTACCATTTGTGCTGAGTTTAAGGGAAGGGAACAGAGATCCAAGTACACATTCAGTTATTAAGGTAATGTATTCATTAATTCTCAGAGGTGATCACATCTAAGAAGAAAAAGATACATTCAACCCAGTTAGTGAGATAGATTCACAGAGCCAAGTGTAACCTGTTTCCTGCTTGATTTAACTCTAGTCTCCTTTGACACTGAAGGAGGTGTTTTCTGACGCAGTGTGTTCCTGTATGCCTGTGCCAACAGGTTATGTTTTATCATCCTTTCTCCTGAAAATATGAAGAAAGAGAAAAAGAGAATGTGAGAGAGGGTGGCAAGTAAGAAAAGAAAGAGACAAATTATTGCATTTTTTGTGTGTTTTAAAAATACTTTGTTTAAATCAATACATAACGTGTTAGCATTCAGTAAAGGGTTAATATTATATAGAGCAGAATTTTAGTTCTTTTCTTGAAAAGTTGGAATCATTTGTTTTCTCTGAAATAGTGAAGAATGTTCTCTACTTTGTATTTTCTATTAGATTATTTTTTATTGTGAACCTTATCAGAAAATTGCTTTATATGTTCCCTTCTTTTTCTGATTTCATTGTTTATGGAAGCAAAATTCAGTCCTGTAACTGCAATCTGTCTAAAACAAAACTGAAAAATGAAACACATCTATGATCAGACAACTCTATGGATGCCTCAGAGATACTATGGAGAAGTTTTAGAACTCTTTCATATTTTAAACAAATTCAAATTGTGTTTTCAAACCTTGATCTAAGTTTCTATTTATTTTTTAAATGCTAAGTATTTACAGACATCCTTAAACATAATCCATAATACTTACATAAATAGCATATACCTGTTATTTCTTCAGTCATTGAGCTTTAAAGGGATCTGGTGAATTGTTCACAGCTTATTGAAAGTTATTATAAAGGGATTTGGTCAAAGAATAATGATTACAGAGGCATTTTTGTAGGCATAAAAAGCAACTTGAGATCTTCTTTGTGTTTATATAGGTATCTTCTCGGTCCTCAGTTTGGCCTCTGAGTGCACAACCCTTGCTGCCGAGCTTCCCAAGGTATCCTATGTGAAGGCTCTTGATGTCTGGCTTATCGCCTGTCTTCTCTTTGGGTTTGCTTCGCTGGTGGAGTATGCTGTCGTCCAGGTGATGTTGAACAACCCCAAAAGGGTTGAAGCAGAAAAAGCCCGAATTGCTAAGGCTGAGCAAGCAGATGGGAAAGGTGGAAATGTAGCTAAAAAGAACACTGTGAATGGTACAGGGACGCCTGTTCATATCAGCACTTTGCAGGTAAGCATGAAACTTTACAATGAAATGGTGCTTCCATACTCTGCAGTGTCAGGGGATAGACCCTTTTGTGTGTGTGTCTTGGTTTGATGGAACTGGCATTCACTTGTTTTTTTTTTCTCACAGATGAAAAGGAACTGATCACAGCATACTTTATGTAAGATGTGCTTTTTAGAAAACGTTCAGAACTCTTAGATCAAACATCACTTAGGGAAAAAAATCAATGCCTTATTAAATTTCTCAGGACTTTGTGCTAATTTTAAGGGTACAACTTTGCTTTGATGGCCTCCATTGAATGTAGAGATCTTGACAGGTCTCTCTGGTGTTTCTCATTGTATGTTTCTTAATGAAAGACCAAAGGACTGGAAGCATCACTGATCATCTTTTTAAGATAAAAATTCACGGAGGAGTCCATACTCTTGATTGAATCACCCACTGTTTAGACAGGCTACCTATTGGATGTCTGACCCAGGGAAACTAAACCCATTGTTAGGGATCTGTCCAGCTCAGCTATGAGTGGCTGGAGAATTGTGTAGGATTTCACCTTTAACCTTCTCTGGTCAGTTGATCATGGGTCTGAGAATAGTGGACAGTGATAAATCGCTGAGAACCAGGCTCCTTCATGGATTAAGATTAGCGGCCATTCATCCCAAACTGACCCTGATTGAAATCCTCTGGCTGGGAAGACCACTCAACCAGAAGACCGTGTCCAATGAGTTAAGAATAGTAAATTCCATGAGTGACTAATAGGTCCACATCATCCTACCACCTTGCAAATCTTGCCTGCTCTGTTTCCTCTCTGGCTACACACTACTCTATCAGTCTACTAATCACCAAGACTCCCCTTCTAGAATGCTAAGCAAGAACACCACGTATGTGGTTTTCAGGCACAAAAGCAAATAAATTATTTTTATCTGATGGTGCTTGTGGCCTTTTTTTTGTTGTAAATCATTTATACTTGTTTTTTGAGTCTTAAGACAAACCCATCTGCAGATCCTTTCCTGCTGCCTTGAGGGAGGCTTCTTCAGGAAAATATTCTTTGTGAAGAATAAGAATAAAATTTTTACTAAGAAAGCGTTTAAGACCTTAAAAATTTATATATTTTTTCATTCATACTTTTACATCTAATGTGTCTATATCATTATATTTGAAGTGAGTTTCTTATAGACAACATATAGTTGCTATATGGCTTTTAATTACATTGTATGTTTGAGTTGGTATAGTTGTCATTTTATTTAATGTAATCATTGATATATTAGGGTTTCAGTCTATATTTTATTTTTGTTTTCTGATTTTTTTCTTGTTTCTGTATTTCCTTTTTCCTTCTTTCATGAGGGTTATTTGAACATTTTTTGAATTTTATTTCAAGATTTCTATATTGTTTTTAAGTGTTTCTCTTTGTATAACTTCCTTAGTGATTAGTTTAGATGTTATACTGTACAACTGGAAACCCAAAAGACCCTGCAATTATTTTTGGAAGACAGATCCCTTGTAATATAGGCTTCCCATGCTTGGTAAGTATCCTAGAAACCCACTGGCATCAGTGTACTAGCTAGTGTTGTTGTGAGAGGCTGCATTCAACTTCAGTGAATTTGTTTTTGGGGATTCTTTCAATGTGTTTGCCCATTTCACAATTGGTGATTTATAAGCACACCTGCTCACACTGCACTGAAGTTCAGCAGTTTTTGACCAAAAAAGGGCATGACCCCATGCCCCACCCTCTCTATTCACCTGATCTCACCCCAAGCAACTGTTTGTGTTTCCCTGCTGAAAAAAATTCCTCAAAGGGAAACGTTTTGCTAATATGTAAGAGGTGAAACAAAAAAGAGCAGAAACATGCAAAGGCATCAAACTTGACAAGTTCAAAAACTGTTTTGAGCCATGGAAAAAGTGTCTTGATAGGCGTTTTGTATCAAACAGAGAGTACTTTGAAGGTGACTAAAGTTTTAAAATGTAAGAATAAATACCCAATTTTTTCTAAATAAATTCCAGTTGTCTTGGTGGTCTCTCCTCATACATACATAATTTTTTAGTCTATTGATGTCATCATTTCACCAGTTTGTGTAATATGAATAACAATACATTCCTTTGTATCCCTTTAACCACTTCTATTTATACTTGTTAAATATTCCCTCTACATACATTTAGAACCACATTATAATTTTTTTTATCACCATCAAGCATAATTTAGAAAACTCAAGAAGGAAAGCAAAATTGTAAAATTTTCTTACTGTGTTTTTTTAATCCTGGAATTTCTAGTTTATGTCTGCTATTATTTTCTGTTTAGAGAATTTTCTTTATTCATTGTTTTGGATAGGTCTGCTGGTGACAAATTCTTTTAGTTTTTTTTACGGGAAAATATCTTGATTTCTCCTTCATTCTTGAAGGATATTTCCTCTGGGTATAAGATTGTGGGATGACAGTTCATTTCTTTTGGCACCTAACAAGTACTGTGTTCATTTCCATTTGGTCTGCATGACTTTTGAGGAGAGCTAGTCGTTCTAATTATTTTCCCCCATGGGCAAAATATCACATGTCTTCAGATACTTTCAAATATCTTTTTAAGTTTTTGATAAAATCCAGCATCCCTTCTTGATAAAAACCCTCAAACACCTAGGTATAGAAGGAACATACCTCAAAATAGTAAGTGAAATCTATGACAAACCCACAGCTAACATGTTGCTAAATGGACAGAAACTAGATACATTTCCCCTGAAAACTTATACAAGACAAGACTGCCCACTCTTAACCCTCTTGTTCAATATTGTGTTGGAAGTCCTAGCTTGGGCAGTTAGACAAGAGAAGAAAACCAGGGGTATCCAAATAAGAAAAGAGGTAGTCAAGTTATCCCTCTTTGCTGATGATATGGTCCTATACCTTGAAAATCCGAGAATCTGTCAAAAACCTGCTTGCACTGATAAAGGACTTCGGCAAAGTCTCAGAGTACAAAATGTGCAAAAGACAGTTGCATTCCTATACACCAACAACAAGTAGGCAGAGACCCAAATAAAAAGCACAATCCCATTCACAATAGCCACAAAAAAAGAAAGAAAAGGAAAAAAGAAATACCTCAGCATCTTCCTAACCAGAGAATTGAAAGACCTTTACAATGAGAATTACAAAACATTGCTCAAAGAACTCCAAGAAGACACAAACAATTGGAAAAATGTTCCATGCTCATGGATAGAAAGAATCAACACTGTTAAGATGTTCATCCTCCAAAGTCAATCTACAGATTCAGTGCAATACCCCCATTAAGTTACCAACATCATACTTCTCAGACCTGGAAATGACAATACAGAAATTCATATGGAAACATAAACGACCATAAATAGCCAAAACAATCCTTAGCAAAAGAAACAAAGCAAGAGGTATCACACTTCCAGACCTCAAACTTTAAGGCTACAGTAATCAAAACAGTCTGGCATTGGTACAAAGACAGGCACATAGACCAATGGAACAGGATAGAGATTCCAGAAGCAAAACCCCAATTCCTCAACCAACTCATCTTTGACAAAGTCTCCAACAACAACCACTGGGGAGAGGAGAACCTATTCAGTAAATGGTGCTGGGAAAACTGGCTGACCACATGCAGAAGGTTGAAACAGAAGATATCACCATACACAAAAATTAACTCTAAATGGATCAAAAACCTAAACGTAAAACCTAAAACTATCAGAATCTTAGAAAGTGCAGGAGACACCCTTATGGAAATTGGAACTGGGAACCAATTCCTATTCAGAACCCTAAAGGCCAATACCTTAAGAAATCAGATAGATAAGTTGGACCTCATCAAATTAATGAGCTTCTGCAAAGCAAAAGAAACCATCAAAAGAGCAGATAGACAGCCCGCAGAATGGGAAAAAATATTTGCCAGACAAAGGCCAAACATCTAGGATCTACAAGGAACTCAAATGCACCGAAAAGAAAAAAGCAAACAGCCGCTTTAAAAAGCGGGCAAAAGACATGAATAGACACTTCTCAAAAGAAGATATATGGGCATCCAACAGACACATGAAAAAGTGCTCAGCCTCACTCATCATCAGAGAAATGCAAATCAAAACCACATTGAGATACCACCTAACCACTGTAAGAATGGCCATCATTAATAAAACAAACAACAACAGATGCTGGCAAGGATGTGGAGAAAAAGGAACACTTCTACACTGCTGGTGGGAATGCAGACTAGTACAACCTCTGTGGAAGACAGTGTGGCGATTTCTGAAAGAACTAGAAATTGACCTTCCATATGACCCAGCAATTCCCCTATGGTAATATATCCGGAGGAACTCAAATTATTCTACGAAAAAGATACCTGTATATGTATGTTTGTTGCAGCTCTATTCACAATAGCAAAATCATGGAACCAATCATATTGTCCATCGAAGCCAGACTGGGTAAAAAAAAGGTGGTACATATACACAGTGGCATATTATGCAGCCATAAAGAAGGACAAATATATGGACATGGCAGCAACTTGGATGGATTCAGAGTCTATCATACTCAGTGATTTATCACAGAAATAAAGAACTGAGTTCCATTTGTTCTCACTCATTAGCTGATCCTGAACAATTATAATACTATAAGAAAGTGATTGACAGTAGTGGAAAACTATCGGGGAGGTGGATTGGGATTGGCAGTTGAGGGAAACTGCTAGGGGAAGGAGGGGCGTACTTCAGCAACAAGGTTACCTGCATGATCAATGTTTATATACCTAACCCTGAATTGTACCCACATCTGTATAATAAATTAAAACAAAACAAAACAAATATCTTTTTAGTCTTTAGTGATCAGTTTTTAAATTATGAGTTTTTTGTGTGTATTTCTTTGGGTTCATCATGTTTGGAATTTGTTCAAGTTGTTGAAATGTCTCTTGCCAAATTTGAAAAAAATTTCAACTATTATTTCTTTGTGTATTTTTCAGACTTGCACGCTTTTTCTTTCCAGACTCCAATAACACATGCTAGGTCTACTGTTAAACTGTCATTCCTGGATATCTGCAG